ATGTTTTGTATCGAATGAAAGCTTTTTTATACATTGGAATACTTGATCACTCGAACGTCACTTCATTGCGTCATCAGCAGTGCTCAAAGGATCTGCCCTTATGTTGTTAAAGTTTGTTTATTTAAGAAATTCATAATAAATAATAATAAAGCAAGATACCTTGTTGAAATATGTGAGTTGTGTGGTTTATGTAAACTACAAAAGTAAAGTATAAATTCAAATGATTGTGACTGATGTGAAGGGGGAGGAGAATTGATACGTGCGTCATGTTTAGTCGATAAAACTCTTCCGCAAAGGGTACACCTGTGTATCCTCGCTCATAGCTCCTCTGGAAGCCTCCTCACTCCTCGATCCTCGGCTCCTCGCGGTGCAATTAGAGACTTGAGATGTCCTTCAAGATGGCTGAGCTCGATCGGTTTCCGGGTCATAGCATGGAGGACGGAGGAGCGAGGAGACGAGGAGGGATATTGAGAAGCACCCATAGCTCCTCTGGAAGCCTCCTCACTCCTCGATCCTCGCCTCCTCGCGGTGCAATTAGAGAATTGAGATGTCCTTCAAGATGGCTGAGCTCGATTGGTTTCCGGGTCATGAGGACGGAGGAGCGAGGAGACGAGGAGGGATATTGAGAAGCACCCATAGCTTGTCATGTATGTTTCCTTGTGCCATGTGCTCTCCTGTTGATTGTCTAGCCCCTCCCATCTTGTTACCTGATTATTGATTTGTTTGCCCCACCTGTCCTCCCTCGTTACCTGATTGATTCATTTGCCCCACCTGTCCTCCCGCGTTACCTCCTTTGTTTGGTCTCCCTATTTATTCTCCCTGTGTTTGCAGTCCTGTGCTGTTTCGTTGTCAAATGTACCTCTTGTGTCCTGCCTAGATGCTGTTGCCAAGGCCATTCAAGTCAAATTAAGTCTTTTGTTTTCCAAGTCAAGTCTGTCTTGTTTTCCCCCTCGGGGTAGTTTTTGTTTTGTTTTTTATACTTATTAAAAACTCATTTTTCCTGCAATTGAGTCCTCGCTTCATCTCCTTAACCCCACACCTGACAGGGGTCAGCAAGAATCTTTTTTTTTTCATTCAGCAAGGGCATATTAAATTGATCAAACAGTAAAAACTAATATTTATATTTCAAATTAATGCTGTTCTGTTGAACTTTCTTTTTATCAAAAAATCCTAGGACATTTTTTTCATTCATGGTTTTCCACTTTGATAATAATAAGAAATGTTTATTGAGCACCAAATCATCATATTAGAATGATTTAATGATTCATATTAGAAGGATCATGTCACTGAAGACTGGAGTAATAATGCTGAAAATTCAGCTTTGACATCACAGGAATACATCACATTTTATAATATATTCAAATAGAAAACGGTTAATTTGTAAATTGTACTGAAATTATAAAATAATATTTCACAATATTACTATTTTTACTATATTTTTGAACAAATAAATCCAGGGTGAGTAAGGGTAAGAGATTTCTTTTTTATAAACATTAAAAATCTTACCGACTCCAAACTTTTGAACGTTAGTGTATAAAATGTCACTTTTTAAATGATGAAGCAATTTAATATTATAATCAGATTTTTGAAACAATTAATTCAAATTAATTGAATTCCAATTCACATTTTTTTTTTTTTTTTTTTTTTTTTTTTTTTTTTTTACAAAAATACTAACCTTATATGAAAAAATATTTCATGATCCAATCCTTTAGGAACAAAAACATTATGGCCAAATAAAACAATCGCAATATTCACTATTTCAGCTAATTTCATACCGGCAGAATAATAATCTTAAACATATTGTGAATATTCCCTAAATCACACAGTACTAGATGGAGCAGGGCACTTCAATCCGGTGAGACATATTCTCTGTAGTTTGTATACACAGCAGGTGTCGGGCAGTTGCTCTCTCTCCATTTGGCATGCTGTGGCAGGCATTTAGCTAATGTCTGTCAAGTGGATTTGCCTGAATGTTTTGCCACTAATGGAAATGTGGATTGAAAAGCAAAGGCAAACTTAGACGTTATCAATTAGCTGCTTTCAATGACTGTGAAACATGATACAATCACAGATGAGGGTGTTTTTTCATATACTGTAAGACACATAGATTCTCCTCATTAGCCTGTAGTATGCCTGTGCCCTCAGCATTTCGTGTGTGTGTTTATGTTTAAGTTTAATCAACATCACAGGTCAGCAGTGTGTGAGAGTGTGTACGGCAGTAAATGGAGACTCGGAGCAGATGGAGGCATGTTTTGCACAGATGTCTTAGCGGCTGGCCTTAGATATGTTTCCTTGAGCACTCTGGTCATGTGCCACCAGATCTTGGGGGTTCCTCAAGTAGAATGAAGCAGAATAAAGCAGTGCTGAAACTGGGTAAGACAAGTAAAAAAAAAAAAAAGCCATCCAAATTAGTATTATTATCAGACCAAATCAAGCTTGCTGAATCGTTTTTATTTGCCCCTTAGTTTCACCGACAGTCAGGTCTTACTGACATTTAGAGCCATGTATAATAGATGCTCAGCTTGAGAAGGGTTCAGTCCAGGTATATCGCCAAACTCATCTCTTCTGAGTTCCTGGAAAGTAAGATGTTCCTGTGATCTACGTGTTAAAAAGGGACCCTCTTGTCACAGTGCTGTCTTAAAACCATTTCTCCCTAGTGTTCCTTTGTCATCCTTTGCGCCTAACTGTCTGTAATTGTGCCTAGAAATAGTTGAGTAACCACCAAATTAATTTCAAGAGACACAATAATCTTAATTTTGGAGATACAGTAAGAAATATGAACAATTATGCAACAAGTCACTAATATTTTGATATTTATGAGTGAAATGCAGATCATGCGGCACAACACAATTCCCCTCGAGTGTTACAAAACTATACAACCCATTTCAAGTTATCACACACACGACATACATGAGCCACATGCCGTAACCAGACAATCTCACACATGAACATGAATGTTTCTTATGAGATTGTATATTTTTTTAATTAATATCTATGTCTCCCGATAGCCCTGTTTTCTGCAGCAAATGCCAAGTTAATAATAATATATATAACTAATTAATATTATGCAAAATAGTTTTTGTGATGTACAGTAAATGTCACAAATAAATAATAATATTGTAATATATATACACTATACATAATACTTCAATTGATGATAATATTTATGCGAAATCACAAAATATTTTTTGTGATGTAAATGGTCACAAATTAATTAAAATGGTCAAAATAATACAAATCTTTGGGTTTGTTAGTTAGTTAGTGTAATCATAACTGGTCTCAGTTCACATTGGCAGGCGTGGCAAAGAGTTAATTTTGAACCTTTCAATACATGTTTTATTGTTCCTGATCAAGCTTTCGGTTCTGTGCCCTGTCCAGCCCATAATATATATGTACAGTATATACACTGTTAAATATTTTAGTGTGAAATTACTGTACTGTATATTCCAGTTTAATAATTGTTACTTTCACAGTAGGACTTTTCTTGTGTCTAACTAACCGCACTAAAAAGTTGGAAAACACAATTTACTGTTAACAAACAACATCATACTGTATTTCTACAGTGCATATGTACTATTAAGGTACCCAGCATGCAGTGTGGCATGAATAGATTATGTTGTGGAGTTTCTTGATTCTTGTTGGATTTATCTGTGCTGCTGAACTTATTTTTGCTTCGCTTTTAGCCATTTGTGTTGGTTTATTTTGTAATGTTGGTTTGTGTTGTATAAACGTTTTTATTATTTGTTGAGTGTCACCATTGTTTTTTTGTTTTTTTGTCAAGTATTGATGTCTGTGCGTCATTAGGTGATGTTTACAAGATGATGTCACATCTTTCAAAGATGAATCTCAGCAGTTGCTTCTCTATTGAGAAAGATCCATCTGCAAACAGTTATGAATTTGAATTAAGTTATTGGTAAATCTTCATGCTTAAATAATACTAACACAAAATCTTCATATACATGCTAGGAATAGTTTGACTAAACTATTTAATATTCTAGCTTGTCATCATTTTAACAAATGTTTTTTTATTTGTCACATTTCTGACTTTGCTAGAACATAAATGTGAATATGAATACTGAGGGTCCAAGATCCCAAGCTAATGGAACACTAATCACCATTATGGTGACTTCAAAAAATTACTGTTGTAAAGAATACATTACAGTGGGATGATTAAATACAACATTATAATGTGAAATCTAATCCTGTAAATTAAATCCTTAGCAATTATTTACAGTGTATATAAATAAAGTTCTGTCATGAAACTAGATGGCGCAGGCTGACAGGCCCTTAAATCAACCTGTTTGCAATCATCATTCTCTATAGGGCACAGCTGATTGGTTCCTGCTGTATCAGTAGCCAATGAGCTTGCATGCTCAACCTTCAAATACTTGGTTAGCATTTGCTGTAGCAGTGCAGTGCGCTTTCAGAAACCCTCTACCTTCCCCAGCTCCACCTGTATAGATCTGCTACGGGTAATTCATGTATGCTTTATTGTACAGCAGCAGCATGTCTTACTAATATCTATATATCTTTATTCAGGCACACTGCTGGCTGGCCATGTGATGTGACGGCATGGCCACCCCTTCCCCAGCCTGATTTATATGTAATGAAAGTGAAATTTTATCTACTAAATCAAGGCTAGGGGAGAATTGGCCATGGAGCAGGAGCAGAATTATTAACAATGAGAGAGATGCCAGACCAGAGAGCTCATATACTGTATACTAAGAGCTCATAAATGGCCACATATGTATGCAGTAGGGAGATCCATGACCAGGAGTCCCTTTTATTCACAGGTATACGAGCTAACAGCTCCGATGGCCTTCTGAACTCCTATGGCTCCTTTTAGCGATGAGGCATGAGTCATGCTTTTGCAGGGTCTGTAAAAGACACGTTTATTATAAGACATGATATTGTTATGAATTAACCTGCCTTGTTATCCCCAGGCTGATTTATTTCAGGTAACAAATAGGGAATTTTCACATCGTTTCTCTGTGTCACAGCTCCCCCAACTTTTACGGACACGCCACCGCAGTATGTGGAGGCCAAAGAGGGGGGCAGCATCACTCTGAGCTGCACGGCCTTTGGGAATCCCAAACCTTCAGTCAGCTGGCTTAGGGAGGGTGACCCCGTACAGGACAGCATCAAATACAAGGTGAGCAAACACATCTCTTATATTTGAATATTAACTTTGGTCATGAAATCTAGGGGATATTCTAAATTGGGGGATATTTTATAATGTAAACTTAAAATATTAGTATAGTTTCTTGTGTCTAAACAGTTTTTTTTTAGTTTTTTTTTGCCCTCTCTCTGACCATTTGTTATGATTGGCTAATGATGTCATTCATCTGGGCTGGCCAAGTTGCTTAATACTAAAATATATGTTGTATGCAATGTTGTCATGTCTCCGAATAAGCGGTTTTGAGCTTTTTATTATAATATTATTTTCATAAAATCACATAAATATATATATATATAAATGTTATTTAAAAAAGAGAATTATTTCCAGAATATAGGTGTGAGACATTTAAATTTCTCTGGGAAATGTTTGTGTGGCAGTGTGAAAACCATAATATACTGTTGTAAATTTTAGTATGTGACAGCCCTAGTGTTGTAGTTACCTGAAGAGTGCCTGTGTAGTTTGATTGATATGCTTCTCTGCACAAATACAGGATTGCAGTTGCCACAGTGAGGGCTCAGGATATTTGATGACGGTGGAAATTACAGGTCATAGGCACTTTGTCATCTCCTTTCCTCTATCTTTACTTTTGCTAACTTTCCATCTTCAAACTACCATAGTCATGGCCCCAAATCCAGCCCTCCGTGAGGTTATCAGTGGCCCGCCATCACAGTTAAATTGCTGCTTCTGTGTCTAAAATGCAAACAAGTGATATGCATTGATAGTGCACAACACTCACTTGCAGTTTTATAGATTTTTGTTGAATAATTTTTTTTTAATTCACAATTTATTATTCATTTTAATAACCAGAATACGTGAACACTGCCATTGCTAATCTCTGACCTTCACTAAAGATACATATTTTATTTCTAGTTTATTTAGTTCAAAAGTTAATAGACGAAATATACATTTCTTTTTTCCTTTTTTTTTCTTCTTTTTTTGGGGGTATTTCTATTAATCAAGAATCCTGAAAACATGCATCACAGTTTCCACTAAAATATTAAGCTACCATTTTTAACCTATAATAACAAGAAATGTTTCTTGAACATATTAGAATGATTTCTGAAGGATCATGTGAAACTTAAGACTGGAGTGATGATGCTGAAAAATTAATCTTTGAATATTTATCCATCAGGAATAAAGTACATTTTAAAAGATATTAAAAAAGAACAGAGTCAATTACAGTTTGAATTGTAATAATCTTTGATCAAATAAATGCAGCCTTTATGAACATAAGATACTTAATTAAAAAATAATTGAACAATTAAATGGTTTGAGGGACTGGCACTAAAATTGGCACCAGGGATGTTTTAGACCTTCTTTAAAAAGTTTGCCATATTGTCTAGAAGTGTCCTTTAAACTAAGCAGTTTGAGTGTCCCTGCTATATGGTTTAAACTTACTCTGTCAAATTGGACAAATCAAGCTGGAGTTTTAACAGTAGTTGCTCGGCCTGTAGAAACAGCTAATTAATCCCCTTCAGCCCTGTCCTATACCCTAGTGGTTTTGCCCTAGCCGCCTGACCATCTCAGTGCTCGTAACTGTACTCATTTTAACTACATGCCGTGGAGGTGTCCCTTGCGCCTCTTATGTTCACAGTGCTGTGTAATTAGGAACCAAATAAATCATCCTTGTATTTCAGCACTAATGGAATTTCTCCTCTTGAGTGACGTCTTTTATATATTTCATCAAATGAGCCTTCCATGATATGAAACAGACTCTTAGATTCCCTTGTCGAAACCAGCATCTAAATACTAGCTTTTTTCTCACAAGTGATCCATTGATTGTGGTTCATCAAAACCAGCAAACCAAACATAGTGAACCAAACTGTCAAATGCTTCCTGAGTATAAACCATCTGCTCGCTGAAGACTAAGCAAAGAGATCCCTACAGGAATGGATGGCTTAGTTCTCTGCCTGAAAAGAGTTTGATTTATAAAAGCCCATTGAGAGATCTTCATCTCCTCGCACATAACAGAGCAATGACAGACTGTCAGTGATAAGCTTTGCTTGGTGATGGAACACTTTTGAAGTAAGGTGAGATTATATCAGGAACAGTGGTATTCGTTGCTTGTTAATTCGAGTGATGGCAAGCTCTTTGTTTAGTCAAAATACTGTAGCATGTTGTTTTGACTGATTAGATCTATAATGTTATTTACAGATGAAAGAAACTTCTCCATCAACTTTTTTTGTTTAAAGCATAATCCTGGGGTAGGCTAGTATATACTTAATAATACTATAGTCTTTGAAAGAGAGGACTCCCATACTAAATTTTTGTACCTTATTAAGACCCATTCACAGCATGAACGATAACAATATTGTCCACACCAACCCACGATATTGTTCTGTTTATTCTAAGCATTCACAGCAGTTTTGTCATCTGCCGCTTTAAATGCTCGAGTTTTTTAAAGCAGGGTGGATTCAGATTGGCTGCCAATATTTTTATCATTCATCAGCTCAGAAAAATAGTTCCGAATGTGATTCAGTTTCACTGTGCAGTTATGGTTGTGGAATCATTATTCTTTTCTTTAAGAATAATTTTTAGAGCTATATATTTATTGTTATTGTTATAGTTATCGTCCTTGGTGTACGAGCCTTTAGAGTACAATGCCGACCAACTTTTTCAGCGTCCTTGGTTCTGGAAGTATAAGAACTACAAACCAATGCAGCTTTGTGAACGACATAATAAAAATAAAAAGGATGGATAAATGATATTGATTATTTATAAGCATATATGTATGTTTATTGCAAAATATGCTTATTTATATACAGTGGTGTGAAAAAGTGTTTGCCCCCTTCCTCATTTCCTGTTCCTTTGCATGTTTGTCACACTTAAGTGTTTCGGAACATCAAACCAATTTAAACAATAGTCAAGGACAACACAAGCAGTGGCGTAACGAGCCAACACCGGGCCCTTATGCAGGATTATCAAGGCGGGCCCCCTACTACAACACGTGATGACGCAATGTCCACGAGTAGGCTTTTGCATGCAATACGCAAGGAACTGTTTACACCTGGCCACTTCATGCTTTTTCTGTGATCGTATAGCTATCCGATCGTGAAAAGACCAGGTGTAAATTCCCTTCGAAACGCATTCGAGACGGATTTGAATCCGGTCGCTCAAACCACTTCAGGAGGTGGTCTGGGCCCCATTCCAGACGACACTGGACAAATGTAAATACATCTGGTTGTTGAAACCACATATGTCAATTTTACTCCTCTAAAAATGCTAAAAAAAAATAAACGTGTGAGAGCGTGGTATAGGCTATATGTCAGTCAGATACGACGCTTCTGCAACAACACGCATCACCGCAGATGAGCATCTATTCATCAAGCCAACGCACAAACTATCGCAAATCAAAGTGAAAGTAAGTCGCAGACGCTCGCTTAACACACAATCATCTTCATTAAAAGTAAAGAAACGAAATGATCTTACCAGTACTGTTGCCGCTCTCTCTAATTGCGGTCTACGATTTAGACATTTTAGCTGATGATCAATAAAATGCAGCTTATCTGTTGCTTTCGGTGACGTGAACTCTATTAAATCTGCATATAGCGCGGAAATTGAAGATCGGATCTATATCTGTTTTGCAAAAACACATTTATGTGACCAGCTGTAAATGGAATCGTTTTGATAAATCAGTAGCTATCCGATCTGAGAAAACGCATGAAGTGGCGCGCGCGTGTAACGTTAAACAGCCGACCCGGGGATTCCCCAGTCCCAGCTCAAAACAAATTACACCAAAATCCATGATTGTTCGTTTCACACATGTATTTAATGATCTGTAAAATATGTTGTTGTCATTATATATTTAAAACAAAATCGTGATAAAGTAAAATGCGATCAAACTAAAAGTAGTAATCTGCGATAGGGGGCCCCGGCTGTCAATCAATATCTTCCAGTCAAGCGGGCCCCTGATTGGTCCGGGCCCGTAAGCAACCGCGTACCCTGCTTACCGATAGTTACGCCACTGAACACAAGTAAACACAAAATGCAATTTGTAAATGAAGGTGTTTATTATTAAAGGTGAAAAAAAATCCAAACCATCATGGCCCTGTGTGAAAAAGTGATTGCCCCCCTTGTTAAAACATACTATAACTGTGGTTGTCCACACCTGAGTTCAATTTCTCTAGCCACACCCAGGCCTGATTATTGCCACACCTGTTCACAATCAAGGCATCACTTAAATAGGAGCTGCTTGACACAGTAAGGTCCACCAGAAGACCCTTAAAAGCTACACATCACGCCGAGACACAAAGAAATTCAGGAACAATTGAGAAAGAAAGTAATTGAGATCTATCAGTCTGGAAAGGGTTATAAAGCCATTTCCAAAGCTTTGGGAATCCAGCGAACCACAGTGAGAGCCATTATCCACAAATGGTGAAGACATGGAACAGTGGTGAACCTTACCAGGAGTGGCCGGCCGCCCAAAATTACCCCAAGAGCGCAGCGACGACTCATCCAAGAAGTCACAAAAGACCCCACAACAACGTCCAAAGAACTGCAGGCCTCACTTGCCTCAGTTAAGGTCAGCGTTCATGCCTCCACCATCAGGAAAAGACTGGGCAAAAATGGCCTGCATGGCAGAGTTCCAAGGAGAAAACCACTGCTGAGCAAAAAGAACATCAAAGCTCGTCTCAATTTCTCCACAACACATCTTGATGATCCCCAAGACTTTTGGGACAACATTCTGTGGACCGATGAGACAAAAGTGGAACTCTTTGGAAGGTGTGTGTCCAAGCATATCTGGCGTAGAAGGAACACTGCATTTCATAAAAAGAACATTATACCAACAGTAAAATATGGTGGTGGTAGTGTGATGGTCTGGGGCTGTTTTGCTGCTTCAGGACCTGGAAGACTTGCCGTGATAAAAGGAACTATGAATTCTGCTGTCTACCAAGAGATCCTGAAGGAGAATGTCCGACCATCTGTTCGTGTACTCAAGCTGAAACGAACTTGGGTTCTGCAGCAGGACAATG